TAGCTGGGACCATAAGTGTACACCACCACACCCCGCTAATTTTTTTTATATTTTGTAGAGATGGAGTCTCACTACATTAGCCAGACTGATCTTGAACTCGTAGCCTCAAGCAATCCTCCCACCTTGGCCTCCCAAAGTGCTGGGATTGCAGCCATGAGTCACCGCACCCAGCCAACAAATGTTTTTTTTTTGTTGTTGTTGTTTGTTTGTTTTTAATCTTGACATGAATATCTCCTCCAATAAGGAATCAAGGCCACCATCGCCCCCCAGGTCACCTCGTGTTGTCCTGGTTGCCAGTGTCTAACTCAGCAACAGGAGACTAGTTTTCTTGTTCTGCCCCCATAAGCCACTCTCTCTTCTGCACAGTAGCTTTTCTAGGGTTTAAGGTTAGGATCACACCCCCCAAATCTGCTCTGAGTCAAAACCTCATCCAAGAGTCCCATTCTCTGAAGGCCGGTGGCCACCCCTGCCCACTGGTGTGAGAAAGCCCAGTTGCTCGCTTCCAGCAGTGGCGTGCCACCAAAAGGGGCAACAAAAGTAGACTGGAGCTGGTCGGGCGGGCTTTGAGAGTGACATTCTCTCACCACCTGCTTGCAGGATGACCTCAGCCAACACCCCTTGTGCTGACCACAAGCTAGATCCTGATCAAATTTTTGTAACTTCCAAATGTTGAAATTGAGACTGACTTTTTGTTTTCGAGTCATGGAATTCTGCTGTTTGAAGTTATTTTTTTATTTTTATTTTTATTTTTTTGAGACAGAGTCTCACTCTGTCACCCAGGCTGAAGTGCAGTGGCACGATCTCAGCTCACTGCAAGCTCCGCCTCCTGGGTTTACACCATTCTCCTGCCTCAGCCTCCGGAGTAGCTGGGACTACAGGCGCCCACCACCATGCCTGGTTAATTTTTTGTATTTTTAGTAGAGGTGGGGTTTCACTGTGTTAGCCAGGATGGTTAAAGTTGTTTTTATGTCTAACTCAGCACTTTCCATTTAGAACCTATTTTACAAAGAAAAAAATATCAAAACAAAATAAAACCAACAAACTTGAGACGGATGGAGCAACAGGGCTGACCGGCTTTGGAGCACCTCTCAGCCGCCTGTCTCAGCATACGGTGGGGGCACGGGTGGCCATCTGCTGACAACTAAAAATGAGTATCTAGTTATCGATCACACAAAAAGCACATGACTAGAAATGCCATGTTCCTGATTTCCTCACTTCAGCTTAAGCAGCTGGATAAGAGATGCATGTAATACTCTCCTACAAGGACGACAGAGGGAAGGAATACTGGTTGGTAATTGTTGTGTAACTGTTTGGGGCCATGCTTTCTTATACATGATCTTATTCACTGCTTGCAACAGTCTCGCTGGTTGGACTGCATTCTCTTCATCACTTACAGAAGGGAAATTGAGGCAAGTCGGTAAGTAACTCACCCAAGCCCCACCGTATGTGGATTCACCCCGAGCCTTTCTGACACCAGAACCCACCCTCGTTTCCCACGCTCCGAGACAGCAGAATCCATCCAACACTGACCATCCTCTCTGGCAGTTCTGAGCTCCCACCACAGGTGCAGGGCAAAGGGGACTCCCCATGAGGCCTGCCCCACGTCTGGGAGCTCCAGGATTGGGGTTTATGAAGTACCGCCTGTGGGGAACCCTCCTGCTGATTTCATATTCATTAATTCTGCATGCTTTTACTTGTCACTTTTTTTGTATGTTAAGGATGGGGCTGAGGGAGTTTGTGATGAGTAGACCATATCCTTGCCTTCAGGAGTTCTCTGTCTAATGGGAAGTGGACATCCAGGTATGCACACCATCCTGACTCCTTTCTGGAACAGAAGTCCGGGGTGTGGTCGGCAGAATGATGCCCCCACCAAGGATGTCCACATCCTAACCCCTAGAACCTGTGGACGGGTTACCGTTCATGGCCAAAGGGACTTTGCAGGTGTGATTAAGTTAAGGATTTTGAGATGGTAGGAGTGGCCTGGATTAGCCAGGGGAGCTCAGTGTCATCACAAGGGCCCTTATAAGAGTGAGGCTGGAAGATGAGAAAGAGAGATTGGAAGATGAGAGAGAGAGATTGGAAGATGCTACACGGCTGGCTTTGAAGATGGAGGAAGGGGCCATGAGCCCAGTCATGAGCCCAGGAATGTGGGCGGCCTCTAGAAGCTGGGAAAGAGGAGAAAACAGATTGTCCCCTAGTGCCTCCAGAAGGAGTGCAGCTCTGCCAACGCTTCGATTTTAGTCTAGTGAGGTCTCTGAAACTGTATGATAAACTAGTGCTGTTTTCAACCACTGTGCTTGTGGTAATTAGTCACAGCAGCAACAGGAAACTGACATGCAAAGGCATTAAATAAATACCTGCAGGGAGGCAGAGAAGTGAGGGGTGCAGAGGCTGGAGGGCATCACTCTGACCTGTTTGGCAGGAGTGTTTGGAATACAGGTGCTGAGTGCCTCCTGGCAGGAGCTCATCGGAAGCAGGTGCTCAAGGGCACGGGAGGTGCGGGAGTCCTGCAAAAGGATCTGTCCAGATTCCCTCCCTCTTTCCCCAGTAATTTGGATGAAAATACTCATCTCATTCACATTTGCTCTAAAGAGAGGAGAGAGACGGGACATATGCCCAGAGAGCTCCATGGGGTGGAAGAGTGGATCAGATCCCATGCGTGGAGTCCAGGAAGCCATCTGTCTAAGCACCCAGCAGCATGGGCCTGGTGAGAGAGGAGAGACAAGAAGCAATGAGTGGGAAGGGACGGGAACTCTGGTTAATTCCGGGGAATCTGGCAGGGGTCATGGGGGGACGTGGGGGCAGAACAAGCCCCCGCAGCCCTCGTCACACCGAAGAGGAAGAAAGCACAGCTTCCTACACTGAGCCTGCTTTCCAAGAGGCCACCAGCAAATGTTGGTGACTTTACCTTAGCCTGGGAGGCCTTCTGTTGTGGACAGGCTGGGCAAAGGCACTGACGATGTCACCTGGGGACGGGGAAGCCGCCCATTAGGCTGGCATGTGTCTGATTCACCCGCACCCCATCTGACCTGCAATTCTTTTGTTTCCACTTATAATTGTATTTTTAGCCTAAAAAAGCTGTTGTAATATTCTTGTTTGCATTGGTCATTATATTTAATTTAAATATATTAATCGAATATGTTATACATATAAGAAGTACTTATATAAAAATGTACCCCTCGAGGGGTGAACACAGCATGGTAACCTGCAGCCCCCACTCGGAAATTGCGCCTGGCCTGCCCTGAGTCCCATAACAGTCCCTTCTAGTCACTGCACTGTCAAGGTCCGCAACTGCCTTGCTCCATCCCCTCAAGGACAGCACCATGTTAGGAATATAGGTGCCGAGTGCCTCCTGGCAGGAGCCCATCAGAAGCAGATACTCAAGGGCCACCTGGTGACCTGGTAATGGTCATCCTTTAAGAAGAGGCCACTGAGACTCAAGGCAGGCCAGAGAGCTTCTGAGCAGCAGCTGCCCAGGCACCCGTGTGCCTCTCATGTTCCAGGAGCCTGACCCTGAAGCCCATGGGGCTGCATGCGGAGCAGGGAGTACCTGGGCTCATAGTCGGACACTCCTGGCACTCAACCCTGACACCACCACAGATTAGTGCTATGTCCTTGACCTCTGCTTATCCATCTGTAAAATGGGGTTGCAGTAGTAGCCTCCGCCAGGATAGTTGAATGATTGAGAGTATTTTAATATCTCTAGCACAGCCCCTAACCATAGCAGGAGCTCCACGCAGAATACTGTTTCATGCAGTGCTTGGTAACTGTGCATCCAACGCAGGCATCACTGTGTCGTGTTCATTCACTCAGGTTCCCTTCAAAAGAAACATTGATTATGGGCCAAATAGGTGTCAGTGCCAGCCCGGGAATGCAAATGCACATTCTGCCTCTGGAGAGGGCCTGGGAAGCCTGGATGTGGGCCTCCTGGGCTGGGGCAGGGAGGGGCCTCCTCTTCACTGCTGTGTCCAGGATCACCCAATCCCTTGGAGAAACTCACCTCCCACCTGAAGTCTGAGCAGCAGAGAACCTTTAAAAACAGAGATGGGAAGTTCTGATCCATGAATGCAAACATTCTGGCGTCCCGTGTGCAGTGGTGTGCGGCGCAGGTGGTGGGAATTAGGGTCACTCTTCTGGGGTATTTGTTCCTATCCACCGGAAGGTATACAGTGTTCATACTCATCGACTCAGAAATTGTGTGTCTGGGAGTCTGCCCTAATAAATAACAATGTGTGTACAAGGATGCAGGTACATGCTAAAGGATGTACAAGGATGTTGATCGGTGCATTATTTTTCATAGGAAAAGTGGAAATTGCTAAATCTCCAACTCTAGGGCAGTGGTTACATTTTGGCTTATGTTCGTGATAGAATAATACACAACTGTTAAAATGGAATTTTGATGGTCATTTTGAAACATGGATTAAAAAACACATTTAAATGTGTTTTCGCTCGCTCTCTCTCTCTCTCTCTCTCACATACACACACACACAGAGGAAAAAAGATTGGAAATAAAAACCATCAAAATGTTAGCAGTGATCATGTGGTGGGATCATGATTCTCGTTTTTTTATCCTGTTTTGTGTTTTCTTAGTGTTCTATGCTAAGCATATGTTATTTTTAAAATTAGAGGAGGAATGAAGGTATTTTACAACCCATATTGTCATGGAGGAGCCTGGCATTAGGGGAGGGGAATGGCTGGAGGGGTTGCTGTGAGTCCTAGTGAGTCACCAGCTAGCTGTTGGGTGAGTTCCTTGATGCTTTCATAGTAGCGTGGGCATGACAACGTCTGCCTCAACAGGCTGCTGTGAACACTGATTTTTTGTAGATTACCATATGCACCATCAATTATAAAACCATGAAAGCAAAGCCCTGTTTTGCAGGTGCAGTAGAAGTTGTAGCTTCATGTGGGGCTGTTTGGCCAGGCCACTTCCCTTTCGGAGGGCACGTCTACCCAAGCTCCCATGGCCCTGGATAATTGTCTCTCTCTCTGCTTCTTCGCAGCTGCCCATGATGGGAGGAGCTTTCATGGACTCGCCCAACGAGGACTTCAGCACCGAGTACTCCCTGTTTAACTCCTCTGCCAATGTCCACGCAGCTGCCAACGGCCAGGGCCAGCCAGAAGATCCTCCTCGGTCCTCCAACGACGCGGTCTTGCTATGGATTGCCATCATAGCCACGCTGGGGAACATCGTGGTGGTGGGTGTGGTGTACGCCTTCACCTTCTGAGGACGGCGCACCCTCCACCACCATGGGGTGAGGCTTGGCACGTAGCTCTGACTTGCTGTTGGCCTTTGGCTGCTCTCATGTTCTAGAACCAGGAGTTTTGACCAGAGGCAGCAGCCATCCTTCTGGAATTTCCCCCCAGCAGCCCTGATTTCAAATATCCCACGTTGTGGTCAAGCTGAGTCAGAAGACATGGAAGTATGGGCCTCCCACCCCTAGAGGCGTGATGGGGCAAGGCCTTCGGAGGGCAGATTGGGGATCCTTGAAACTACATTCCAGGAACAGGAGACTAGATGGAACAGCTAGTTAGGTTTAAAACATAGGCACGGTTTGATGGTCGCTTGCTGGTGGTAAATAATCACTCGTGTGTCTTGTTTTTATGCAAACTTATCGAACCTAGGGTGTGGGGTGCTGGGGCAGGAGCGACCCTCAGGACTTCTGTGTTCCCGACCCAATTCTGGTTTAACATTCAGTCCCTTGGCCACCTAGTAGGGCCATTGGATGTTCCTAATTTGACTTTGAAATGGCACCTTTGTCACGAGACACCCGGTCCCTTCCGAGACCCAAGTGCATCCGGAGACCCAGGGATGGGAGGTTACTGGTCATAGGGTGGGGTTTCTGGGAGTGTTGTTAGTGGTTTGTATCTCCTGGCTGGACTTTCTCTTCTTTTTAAGAAGAGGAGGGGAGAGGATGGGAGAGGATGTCTTTAAGAGCTAGATCTGCCAGGCAGTGGACTCTTCAGGCCACCCACGTGAGGATGCTCTTTCTTCTCTGAGGAATCGTGGAATTTTAAAGATGAACAAGATTCACGTCCACTGAATTATTCAATGCATGGGTCAGAGAGGGGGGTGATTTGCCTGTGGTCACCAGGCACGTTCGTGGAGGAGTCGGGACAGGAAGATGTGTCCTCTCTGTTTCAGCTCACTGCTCTCTCTCACTGCTCAGCTCACTGCTCTCTCTGCCCCAACTAAGCACTTCCCTGAGGAGGTTGCTGAGAAGCTGCCCTGGGGAGAATGTCCAGGCATCTTGAAGGTGGATGCAAGATTGGCAGGCTGCTCAGTCACCCGTCCTTTACACTCAGTGTGGATACCGTGCCTTCTCCTGCAGCGTGAAAGTGCTTCTGCCCAAGCCACTTCCTTAAATTCTCAAAAATCAGCATCTGGGGTCCTGGCAAACAAGGAAGCTTCCAAGTAAAAACCAGAAAGAAGGGCACACTTTTCTTTCTTCCTTAGGAAATCTTATTGCACAGGACCGACCCCCACCCCCACACCTTCCCAAGGCAGCCTCCCTGTGCAGATAGAGTGGCAAAGGTCCCAGAAGGGGGCTCACTCACCTCTAGGCCCAGAGAGGCTTTCTCCTCACTTTGTACACTGCAAAAAAAAAAAAGAGAAAAGTTGTGTCAATAACACCCACTGTGGTAGAGAAACTTAAAAAGCTGGTTAGGAAGCTCGCGTGTAGGTTTAGGGACAATTACAAGAAAGCTGGACTTTTCACTCTGGTCTCAGGAGAAATGAGCGTTCTTGACGACAGGCAAAGGGACATCTTAGGTGTCCAGAAGCAGCATTCTTCCCTGGAAGCCGCCATGGTGATAGGATTCCTAGCTTGGCTCCAGACAGTGCCTGCTCATGGCTGCCAGTTCTTATTGATCACTTCCGTCACTGCCGCCGTATATCATCTGCCAGTGCGTCAGCTTAAGGGGAGGTCACGAGTGCAAAGAACCTGACTTTGGCATTAAGGGAGAAGGGACACGGACCACCTGCCTGGAATTCCTGGAATCACTGACAGGGCGGAGGCTGGGCTGGGGAGTTAGCTGCGGCGTGCGTGGGTGGCTGTGTCTCCAGCAAGTCTCTCTCCATCGAACCCCAGGTCTGCTCCATAAGCAAGATCTTTAACGGATGGATGTCTCCATGAGAAAAGCCAAGGCGAGAAGCCCAGAGCCAAGGTGGGGTTGCGTGATGTCCTCATGGAGTCACTCTGCCTCACACGCTCAGATCTTCCCTTCTGGCCCCACATCCCCAGGAGGGCCTGACCCCTGTAAAGATGCAGGAGGCAGCTGCCTGGCTTCCAAATGGCCCGTGGAGATGGCAGTCGAGGGAGAGGGTTCTGTGTTTGCTGTGGCAACGGGAGGAGAAGGCAGGAGAAACGGATGGCTTCTAGCCCTGAAGAGGACTCCAGCATCCCAGGAACTGGGCGCTTCTGGCTGCAGGAGTTTTCCCTATGGAGGCCCCTCAGCCTCCAGCCCTTAACATAAATATCAGTTAAATTCAGTTTTCAAGCCTCTCTCGCTTTTCAGTATCAGAGCGGTAGATGGTCCAGGGCATTGGAGACCTCGACCACTCTGCATTGCAGATTACAGTGACTTCCTTGGAGTTGCTCCATCTTGGTCTCCTATGGTTTCTTTATCAACTTTGTTTACCACCATCTCTCAAACAACAATGAAGATAGATGTGCCCGTTAGTGTCTGATTAAGGAGCAAAGGATGGATTTCTGGCCAGAGTGAGCTGCACTCTCCCTCCTGCCTCAGCGGGGGTCCGTCTTAGCAGTTCGGAAAGGGGAGAAAGATGCCGGTCCTCACTGCCTGAATTATGTGTCCAGGTGCCGCTAGACTTGCATGCACACTAACTCCTTACAATCACCACACAGCATCATCGCCCCAGTGCACAGATGAGGAACCAGAGGCTCAGAGGAATGAAGTCGCCTTCCTGAGGTCACACAGCACGAAAGTGAAAAGCTAGGATTTGAACCTGGGAAGTTGGGCTTTAAAGCCAGGCTCTTTCTGCCACACAGTACTGCTTTCTGTGACTGGGTGGCACCTCCAGGGCACATTTACACCAGGCCCTGAATCTGCAGAGGCTGTTTCTCAAGATGCCCGTCATGGTGTGGCCTGGGCCAGCTCTGGCTTCCACAGGTCCCTGACCGCCCTCAGAGTGGAATATGCTCAACCTCCTGCCCAGTGCTCTCTCTCTGCCCAGATTTCAGGGGTACCGGTCCCGAAGGCATGCCCGCTTCTTTAAGACTGAGCTCAAGTCTCCTTGGAAGTCTCCGGTGAAGTTCCCAGAGACTGGTTTTCTTGGGATGCAGGCAGAAAGGGGACCCTCCCTGGCCAACACCCAGGACCCCAACAGAAGCACCCACACATAGAAAGAGGCTCACAGCAGCCAGAAGTGCAGAGTCAGAGTCCTGGGACCATCTTGTTCTGCAAGGTGACAGGGGAGAGGGATCACCCCTTGTTCAGACTCTAGCTGGGACCTCTGTACTGGCTTCTCCCTTGATGGGGTTGCCTGTTAAATAGCTGTGCCTCAGAGAAAGTGTCCTGCATTTTCTGGAATGTTCTCTGTGCTTGCCCTTCTGTGTGCCCCTCCATTGCTCCTCTACAAGCAATTAGGTGATTCAAAAGAGCAACTTAGGCTGGGCACAGTGGCTCATGCCTGTAATCCCAACACTTTGGGAGGCCGAGGCGGGCAGGGACAGGAGTTCAAGATCAGCCTGGCCAACATGGTGAAACCCCGTCTCTACAAAAAAAAAAAAAAAATACAAAAATTAACCAGACATGGTGGCATATGCCTGTAATCCCAGTTA